ACCAGAAAGGAAGACCTGACCTTCACCGAAAGAGAAAGATTCATAAAAGAACAATACACAAACCTGGTCAATGATTTTATGAATCAATGACTCACAAACACTATAGACAGCTCCTTCATTTTTAAAATTTATTTTAGCACTAGTCCAGCCTTGGCAGGTTAGCCCCCATACAAGGGGTGGCAACAAGTCATAAGGTGAGTACCTTGGGAAAGGGAAATCTCTATTGAGTTTTGTTTGGTAGAAAACAGGTAGTATATTTTAGAATATTTTTTCTATGTAATATCACTGCATATATACAAATAAAACAAGGCTGAGCCAGTATTTAAAAAAAAAAAATAATAATATTAAAAACTTGTTTTTAATTATTAAAAATAAAATTTTTAAGTAAAATAAATTAGAATGTAAGAAAAAAATAGAAGTAACTCTTGAAATTATTTTTCAAGTATTTTAAAAAAAGGATTAAAACTTTATTAATATAGAAGTAAATAATTTTTTATAAATTTTTTTATTATATATAATTAAAAAATTAGTGAAAAGAGTTATTTAGATAATTTTATTTTTAATTATAAATATTATTTTATTTTATTCTTATTAACATATATATAATTATTTTTTAATATTTTATTTATATTTAATTAGCAAAAGCCACTTTAGTATCTGATCTAATTTAATATAATTAAATAATACAGGAAATTAAAAAAAATTTAAAAGATTTGAGTAATCTATTTTTATAAGTACTATATCTATAATAAATAGTAATAATTTATTTAAAAGTAGAATAAGTTTATGAAAACAACTTTACTTGATTTTAAAAGATTAAATATTTTTTTTATTAATTTACAATCCTGATTATAATGATTTGTTTTTATTAAAAAATTAAAACAAAATTTATAATAAATTATAGATTTTCACAAAATGATCAATTTGTGTTTATATTTAAGTACTTTAAATTAGATTTTAGAAACAATATTATGATTTTCTGATATAATTGAATTAAATATAATTTATTAAGATCATCACTAACAATTTATTACATTAATAAATTGCTAAATTAGAAAAAAAAAATATTTGAAAAAGAAAACAATTCAAGATTTATCAAAAAATTTTAAAAATAAAAATAATTTCTTTTCAAAATGGTTTTGCTTAATTGAAATAGATTTTTTGTTTTATTTAAATTTTTAAAAAATTTTCTTTATTATTACTTACAATATTGAACAAGTCAATTTAATTAATTTTTTATTTGAACAAGCATTAAGTTATTTTTAAACAAAATTAAAAATATACTGTATATTATATATAATAATTATAAAGTTTTATATTATTTTTATTCTTTTTTACTAACTTTAATATCTGTTTATTTCTCTTTTAAGATATTGAGTTTTATAATATATGATAATAAATTATCTGTAAAGTTTTTTTTAGATTATCTTAATCAATTTTTGTTTTTTAAATATATGTTTAAAAATATAATATATAATTTTTATAAATTAATAAAAAATTGAGTTATAAAATTAAAAAAAAATTTTTTTTTAATTAAAACTTCTTAACATTTATTTAAATTTAACAATTGATATATTATTTAAAACAAATTGAATAAGGATCAAATTGTTTAATTTTAATAACTCGTTATTGAGTTATTGAAATTATTAAAATTTGTTAAAATATTTGTAACTTAATAATTAGCAATTCCAATTAAATTAATTAATTTTATTTTAATTCTTTGTAATTGCAACTTTTAAATAATATATTATTTATTAAATTTGAATAAATATTGAAGAGTTTTTAATTAAAAGAAAAATAAAATTATTCAATAATTAAATAATAAACAATTTAAATAATTAATAAAGAATATTATAAAAATATATATTAAAATTTTTTTACATTTTCAAGTTAACAATAATATTATTAAAATTTGTAAGTACAATTAATAAGATACGATTTTTTAAAAAATAATTAAAATAAAAACAAATATTTTAAAAATATTAAATAAATAATGGAAAAAAATTATTTTTTATTTTAATAAGTTTTATAATTTCAAAAAAAAAAAAAAAAAAATTTTTTTTTTTTTTGATTTTTTTTCTTGAAAATATTTTTTAATCGGTTTTAATAAAAATATAAGGAATTTACCAATTTAAAGAATAAAATTCTTTTCAAATATAATTAGAGAGACAATAAAAAGAAGTTCGTTAAAACTTGCTATTATTGATTTTAATATAATGATAAGTTTTTAACAACTGTTTATTGTAAATTAAAAACAAAACATAATTAAGCAAATCATTGTTAATTGATTTATAATGACTTATCTTGTTTCAAACATTTTATATATTTAAAATTTTAAAATTTTGGTTTAACGAAAATTTCGAAATTAATGTTACAAAAAATGATAATATCTTCAATTATAGCCTTTATGAACCAATGATTCTTGTAATTACTGCTAAAAATTTTAATTTATAATTTTCAGGCCTTTGAATAAGCAAGTTTCTTATGGTCAATAAGTAAATATACAATCTTGATGTTGTAGGGCGGCGGATCATGGTTAAAAAAAGCAAGCACACAATCTTACAAACTAAAATCGAAACATGCAAAATAAATAAATAAACAAATAAAGGTTATTATAGAAGAAAAAAGTTCACGAGTGAAAAAATCACACATTTTGTTAATTACCCGGTAACTCTATAAATATTAGTATTAAAGCAAGTAATCTCTTACGATACAAGTATAATATGCTGTATGTAAAGATTGAAAAGGTGAATAGCCAATTTCGTTCGTTCATTTATACTTAGAAAAGCTGTTACGATATTGGAAAAAAAATAACAACCGGATTTCGAGAAACTAGTTGTATTTTTTTTTAAAATTTATTTAAAAACAAGGTTGTATGATATAGTTTTTGGGAGAAAAAAAAGTTGTCACAAAATTTCAGTTCTTTAATGGAGAGAACCTCGTGAGCTTATAAGCATTTTTAGGGAATAAAGCTTGAGCATTCTCGTAGGTCACATTCAAAAGATTAAATGTTAATCGTATAATTTACAATGACATTATAATAAATTAGTATCTAGATTACAATAATTTCTCTACCTAAGGCTCTAATAAACAAACAAGATATTAGGGAATAAAATAATCCAGATAGGTTTAAATTAAATTACTCTATGATCAATGAACATCTAGGATCCATTAACAATTTTTTCAATGATCTAAAGAAGAGTGATGTTAGAAGGATGATTGGTACTACTAGAAATCGTCGTCGCAAACCTACCGAATTCTCCAATGGTAAAGATTCTTCTGCGCACCTTCTAAATGCACTCGATGCCAATTCCTGCAACATTGTATTCATCACCCTATGTTTATCATTATGCGCAAATATTTTATAAAAAAAAAAAAAAGATCGATTATTGATTGGTTAATAAAAACGCGTATTGAAGAATAAATCACCTTTCGTCCTCAACGAATTTCCATAATTTAACACGCATATATTCAGAGTCAATTTGAATTTGTTGAAACACCTGGTTTGTTAATGTATGCATCCTAATGGTCTCGATCCATGTCTAAGCATGAAAATTGAAAATGATCATATCCGTCAGCTCAATTTTTCATCAGTCACAAACGCATCAACATTTTATCGATCATCGAACATACTTTTAACAAGATCTTCACCACACCCATGATAATTCCAAATTTGCTAAATTCCACAACCCCATACACCTCAATTCTATCTGAAAATAATTTGTCGATATGCGACATCAAATTTACTTGACTGGCAAATGGATTTGGCGACGCTTTAACTTGACCCGAATTTACTGACGAATAAGAAGAATTTGAGTGCGAGTATGGAGGTTTCAGGAACGCATTATTGCCCGAGGATGCTTCACCCGTGGAACGCACGACGGACGACGGATCTAGATGCGTCGACTGTGCATTATCCGGCTGCGCATCTTATTTTTAGATTAGATAGAAATGTTTATCAACGCAAATGAATGCACACGTAACCATCTTTTTACCCTACCCTAATTAACAGCGCAATGACGAATTTACCTAAATTTTCGTTAACGTTCTCATCTTCCTCATCGTGAGGTCCATATAACATCACTGCTTCCTTTTCAATATATGTCAGCTCGGAGATAATGTTCACCCATATTTCCGATACTTTACTAGGTTGTGATGCCGTCGATACTTTATCATCGACCTCATTCGAATTTTGAAGTTCCGAGCGATTCGATGAATAAAGAACTCGAATGCTCTTAGATAGTTTGTTTCCCACGATTTCTACATAACGTTCCAAGGTTCTCTGTGAAGAATCAAGAAAGGAATTTTGATTTATAGATGCATTCATATATGTAGTCAGTGGGCATCGCTTTGAAGACTTGCCTGAGCGACGTCTTTGCAAAGTCCAACGACCTCCCTAACATCTTGGGCCATCTCTTTGGCAACGATATGTTTCTCGTCATATCCGCCATAAATACCCGAGACTAGTATATTATTATTACCATCACGTCGAGGATATAACCTATCAGAATATGAAGTGTACACCTGGGCAACAAAAATTTCTCCAAAATCTAATAACATCCGTGACATCACTAGTGTCACGATTACTGGGGGTGGCGAAGGTTGCTGGTTTGGAGGTTGCGGAATTTTTGGAGACACAAATTTCTTATTTGGTTAAGATCAAACAAATGAGTTAATGTGATGCGGTAAAGTTTCCGAAGGTCGACTCTCTAAAACCATGACAATCACGTACAATCATAGACTTTACAAGCGAATGCCAAAAATTTCGAAATTGATTTTTAAATAATTCCAAAAGACTTTCGACCCCATTTTTACTTTGCAACATTGGGACCTCGGTCTTGATACATTCCTATATATATATATATATATATATTAAAAAAAAAAAAAAGGTTATCATCATTCAGCAGAATACCCGCTATTTGGAAAATACCTCTATTATCCTCAAACAATCGGTCGTCAAATAATTAGTAAGCCTTGTTACGGCGTTCATCATGAAATTATGCAAATCATTGAACCGATTTTGCGATGAAGTTGATGATGATGATGTTTGTGAATTTTGTTGCGCCGAAAATTGGATGAATTCCCCTGCGAGGCGTAAATAAATAAAGTTAGCGGTGCCTAATTGAGTAACGTGTATGTGATCAGTTCTTCGTTCGATTGAAACAAATACCTATCAACAATTCTTCGGCATTTCCAAACAGCTTCCTTCCAATATTTATTTTCCAAACTTCGATTATTCCCTTGACCCTCTCATCCAATTTACCAATCGAACAAAGACTATGACAAGATAGAACTGCGAAATAAAGTTCGTTCAATAGTTGCAAGTGATTTTCAGGGTGAAAAACCGAAATATCGTCCTGGAACAAGGTCATCTTAGAATGCTGAATTTCTGGTGTAGTACACATTCAATAACATGTTTGACAAAAAATATTCTTTTTTTTTTTTTTTTTTTACCGGAAACTCCAATAATCCGTCTATTATTTTCAAATATTCTGATATCGTTGCGTCATAAAACTCTATGAAATCCTTTCTAACAACTTCCTTGACCTTAAATGACACGAGATTACAACATGTACACGTGATGTTCACCAGTCATTCCAACATTCCCTACCTTCTCATCCACATTCGCACATGCGTATTTTAGCATATCGTGATTTCTTGGTGACCTCGCAGGAGATTTTCCCGGCGATTTGGAATCCTTGATGTCCCTTGGCGGCAGCAGAAAGAACGAATTGAAAGCATCAACAAACCTGCTGAATTCTTTCAAAAAAGTTTCATTTAAATATACGAGTTTTTGTTTGGATAGGTTCTGAGGATGCATTTCTACGGGCTGATCATTCAGGTCGTTTTCTTCCGCACGCTGCTCTTGACGGAATTCCGACATCTTGTCAATTGTAGCCACCAGAAGTTTGGCAAAGAAATTTGATTGACTAGAATAGAAGATAAGGCGTGAATTAATGACCTACAGATTCGGGATGTTGAATGAACGGCCCGATTTGCGAAAAAAAAAAAAAAAGAAAAGAAAAGAAAAAAATTTGGATTCCTACAGGTCAAGGTATTCTTTGGCCAACACTTCGGGAGGCTCTTTCAATGTGATTAGTAATCCCACGCAATCTGTTATTTCAGATCCACTTGCCTACGGCGAGGATAATCGATTGTCAATGAAATATCGACATTGTGAGAGTGGAGATCCATAGCAATATGAAATAGACAATTTACATCCTCTTTGGTCATATTCTCCTTGATGCTCCTCGTCACCTTATCCATGATTTCTTTACACTCCATTTCAATTGAGTTAAAAACCGACAAACTCCTATAATGCTCCAAAAGTTTTGATGTCTTTGCGTAATATCTTACGGCCTGCGCATAAGATTTTTGATCCAGGCAAAGTTTCAACCTTGTCGGCAATTCAAAGATGAATTGTATCTTTGTAGAAATTGACGAATTTCCTTAGATTTCTTTTTTCAGTTTCACTGGTAATCAATTAAAACCCATTTCGGCGCAAAACATTACTTTTTTCAATAGGTCATGAACTCCGGTCAACTGACGAATCTTTTCACGCCCTGACCCTAGGGCAGTGTTCACCGATGTGGTAACGTCGGAAATGTTTGCCATGCTTTTCGAGAGTTGCTCCATCTCAGATTCCATGCTTTCAACATTGCTCTTCATCTAAATGAAAGAATAGAATCAAAGCCTTCGTTCAATCCATCAGAATTGGCCTAACCTGAATCACGAGGGCAGTGGACAATTTATTTAGCACACCTTTCTTATGGTATCGGTGGCACTAATGAATTTATTATAATTCTCGTAGACCAGGGTTTTCATGTCACCATCAAGCTGCCTAATTTCTGGCGAATTCGGTCAAGGTCCGTAATTAGAAAAGGAGACATTTCGGCACACGATCCATCCCTCCCTCCCCTCGTGCGCACACATATTACTGCATATACATGGATCTCAATTGTCCCAATTAAAACCGACCTGTGCTTAGATCATTGTCTCTCTGCATTAACTCGTAAAGGTGCCTTTCAGCAAGTAAGCTGTTGAAATATTGATCCGCCTCGAAAGCGGAATTATCTACATCCAAAATTTGAATGATGGGAGATTCAGATGCCGAGCATGGAACTCAAAGATTCAAAATCACCCAATACACCAACCAATATCCAACGGATCAGCTTTTTTGCCGTCTGGACCTAATCCATAATAATTTCTTAGCAAATTTTTCGCTCTACCTTTGCGAGGTAAGGTGAGCGTTATCGGCACGGTCGCATTCAGCGCTTGAGCAAAAGATGCTGTGGGCTGAGCACTATTCGATGGTGTACTCGGAGTCTTTTGTGTTTTTGATGACATGCTTCTTCCTCTGGAAAAAGTTGAAAAATCCGGACTAAATACAAATTTCCAGGTGTCCGTGTTACGTACTTGATTTCCCATTCGGGATATGATCATCATATGAATGTGCAAGCACGCGAACCTATCACAGCATGAGTTTAATGAATGACGCGCTAACCACGTGATTAATGTTGTCACCAATGGTTCTGCTAATAGACATGCGCGCACAAAAGACCGCGCCAGAATGTGTGCATTCACGGTGATGTAAATAAATTGATGACTGACATGCACTCGCTGAGCGCTTGAAAGGAAGGTGGAAGTTTGAGGGTGAAATCCCTTCCCATTTTAATTCTCTATCATTATACATTCGGTCAAACTGAGACATCATCCTGTGATGTTGAAAGCATGCGGTAGGACATATCCCATTGGGCTCCCATTTCTCCGGGAATCGACCGAAGTCGAACCACATGGTATGAGAACGAGGAAAAGGAAGAGAATAAAGACTCGGGTTTATTCAGAGTTGACTATAAACATAAACAACTTCTGTTACACAATCCATAATTGAATTATGTAATCATGTATATACTGTATATTTATGTTATATAAGGTCGATGATCGTAAAATTGTTATAATGTGATGGAATTTAAAACTGAGGTTGCCACATTTTTCATAATCTCGCCTTCCTCCCTTTCCTATCAGCTGCATTTAATTCCTTATTTTTTACATTCTCTAAAAATTCGTCTAGGTATTCATGAAGCTGCTGGGGTTTCTCTATCATTACCCAATGGCCCGCGTCTTCGATATGCTATCAAAGGAGATTGTTGCGTGGTGAATGACATGACGCTTGGCACGTAGAAATGATACGAGATTGAATAGGTCGATTCACCTTGACAGTTAGGTCCTTACAAAATTTATGCATATTATTTGACATGCTGGGAGGTATGTGCAAATCTTTGCCAACAGTGATCTAAATGAAATTGAGTGCATTTCGTATTTTCGAGTCTTATTTTTATGACTACCAACTACTATGGGAGATATGATAAATACCATAAGAGCTTGATTGTGTATCTGCTTTCTGGCACCTAAACGAATGTTCAGAGCGATGCACAGTAAGCAAGCATGGAACTTGCGCACGGAAACTTTCGGGGAGAAATCTCTCACCTTTCTCATCCTGATAATTAACCTTTCTCGTCTTATACCAATTTAGACCACCGTGAAAGCCATGATTCTTGTACTGGGCTGCATAGTAATCTAATTCCTTTGTTGTTGCACAAAATCATCAATTTACTTATTTTGTTCGTTTATTTGTTTTATTGTTTACTATCTCGCTTATCCGACAGATGCAGTAGCACGAGTTGACTTCGACGTCATACCTGCTGACTGATCAAAGGACTCCTTTGCAAACCATCGACGAGATTTCCCATCATATTTTTTCCATCAAACAGTTGAACATAGTCTTCTGGTTGCGAAGAGCGAAATACGGCCTTGAGATAAGCTTCCGACTATCATATCATAGATTGGGATGAACGTTAGGCGTCTGAAAAACCCACCCAAACAAACAAAGTCACACAAAAAGAAAGACTTTTGAACATTGCTGTCTAATTCGATCTCGGCCTTCGGGTGCGACAAATAAACTTGGTATTGCAGATTCGGAAGAATTTCTGCCACTGATTCGAGTGCAATATAATTCTCGTTTGGGGGCGTGTAAGGGGTGCAAATGCTGCAAGGAAAATCTCACGTTAACTTCGAGCTCCACGAAAAATCAAATCGTGAATCGCGACGACCTTCACCTAACCACAGCCTTAACCCGTTCCGGATGATGAATGCACATTCGCCATGCCAAGAAACCGCCCCTTGAAGAAATTTGGACGGACATGAATATCGTTAGCTTAGTGTCCCAGACAGGTTCATCATCATGGTATTATTTCTTTAGTGTACCAGTCATGTCCGATAAATATTGAACTCTTGATTTTCAACTGGCTCATCAATTCCGTTAAATCCTTGCAAACATTCTTGAATCCATATATGTGCAAATCATTGGGCGGGCACTTTGGAGCCTCCTGGAAATATTTTTGCAAGATTAGTTTTCCTTATGAGGTGACGACCGAAAAAAAAAAAAAAACAAGTGATAAAAACGATGCGCACCGTTTGACCATAGCCACGAAGATCGGGAACTATCACTCTATATCCTTTGGACACCAAATGAGGTATCTGGTAACGCCAGCCGTACCATAAATCGGGAAATCCGTGTAAAAGAATTATACTATCGCTATCCTCTTTTCCCTCATCCACATAATCTGCGCGAAAATGATGACAATGCCGCACCGAAAATTCTCTTTAAAAACCAAATCGATGGAAGCGAAGCGAATACGATTAAAAAAGATTCATGAAAATTGCATACGATATGTGATCCCGTTAACGAAGGAAAATCTATGCTTAAAGGAATTAGGATCCAGAGGGTTCATCGCTCTGGTGGTCATCGTGAAAAAAGATGTTTTTTTTTTTTTTTATTGAAAAAAAAAATGTCGTGTTATTGATTTATATCACGCATGATGGGTGTTACGGACGTAATATACGTTTTTTTTATTGCCATCACCGACACTAAAAGATCGGAGATGCGTGTGTAGCTGATAACCATTTGTGAAACAAATATTGAGCGCCATGACCTAAATTCGTATGTACATAATTAAATTTCAAGATGAATCTGCGAGATAAAAATATTGTGCAGCCCGTTTTCCCTACTCAAGAAAGATCGTCCGATCACTGCGAAAGTTCCTTAAATTTTGTTGCATCGGACAGTTGCCGTTCATTACTTTATACTTCCACTCAATGCTATTCACCGCTGATGAACCTAGTTCTACGGTCAATGCCGATGAGCTGTTCGTCAAACACAGCATTCCCGAGTTACGGGCTTATGAGAAGAAGACTAGGTTTGCCATTGATTATTACGGCCATCTCGTGTGTCGATCGTCATTGATGAGATTTCCCTTTGCAGGTCCGATATCGAGAGGAAAAAACAGGAATTAAGATTGATGGTCGGGTAAGATACGCTTTTTATTTATTGTTTTAATGTCCACCGGACGCCTTGGAAAACACCGATTCTCACAATCTTGATCTCAAAATTGCAGTGAGCGATACCGAGATTTGACCGATGCAGCCGATAGCATTGTAAACATGCGCCATTGTGCCTTGGCAATTCAAAAAGAATTGCATCACATGCAAGACTCCTGCGACGTTGACGCTCTGAAGCGCACCGTCCGAACTCAAATCAATGAAGACAGAAAGGGAACCAAAGGTTCGCGAGTAATTCCCTTGCCATTCTATCAGTTTCGGCTATTTGATGTGTGGTTTTTTCGCCTCACTTAACCTAGATGAAAAGAAGCACCACCTGTATTCCTCAGCCGCTCAAATCAAGTTGCTCGTAGACGTTCCCGAACAAGTACGTTCGATTCACATTGAACAGATCCACACGGTCCATTTCAATTTACCATAAAGAAAAAAAAGAATTCACGTCATGTCCACGCACAGATCTGGAGATCACTCGAAAGTCACAAGTACCTCAATGCCAGCCGCTTATACCTCATAGCGAAATTGGTATACAAGAATCTTCAGGCTCGCAACGAAGATTCAACGATCAATGTGTCGGTAATGACAAATCATTTTTTATTAGATCATTTGGTTACAAAGACTTATGAGATACTTATCACCATCATGATTCACGAACGTAGGCGACCTTTCCGGTGGTTCAACGCCAGTGGGATGCTGTCAGTCATTTCAAAACACAAATTCTTCAGAAAGCGATGCAACATCTGAAGGTCACAGATCAATCGGAACAGGTGACTGACGACGTTCGATAAATATCTAGTGGTCAACGACCCTCTTTCTACCCTCGTTCACTCATCCCCTTGAATTTTCACCGGTTCAAGAGTTTAGCCGAGACCCTGTGCTCCATAATGCTACTCGATGATGTGACCATGAGAGACGTCTTTCGCATGTGCATCGACACGAGAACCATGTCCCTATTACAACTTCTTCAAACTTTCGGTAACAATGACACTAGATCGTTGACAAAAAAATTCAAAGAGATGATAGGTATCGTGAGGAGCACTGTTTATCATGTTGGAATGATATTCATGAGGGCGGGAGAAGAAATGTCGGTGCTGGAGTCCTATCTCCATCAAATACAACAAGGATTTACGGTTCACGAGGACACGATTATAACATCGCCTTCTATGATGTCGTCTCGTGATCCAAAGGCTTCACTTACCCGCCTCTATTCTCCGTCGACCAACATACACTTGCTCATACGTTACCTCCCCGAATCCATACAAACTTTTACCCCTTTCTTGCACACGTCCGGCGCCCGTGGGCAATTTTCCCAAGAGGACATCACTTTGAGGATGAATCTATGGATCGAACATATCGCCGAGGAATTTCAAGGGAGACTCGGTGATGTGTTGTCAGGAGTAAATAGTGCAAGCAGATTGAACGAACTGCGTGAGAATATTTGGGAGGTCCTGAAGAATGATGAGAATATCCGGGAAGACGATCAATCCGTGACGAAAAAACACCCCAGCAGAATTCACCGGACCAGCTTGGGTTTCATATTGCAAATACAGAAAACCGAATGGTCTTGGAATTATGTTAGTTTTCTAATAAGTTTTCTTTTCCTTTTTTTTTTTTTTGCCTTCCGACCGCCAATATTGGAGAAAGTGAATTTTTTAAAATACGATTTTAGGTTTGTAACCTTGTCTTCAACAAATTTTTCTCCATTTGGCACAACTTACTGCGTAAAGGTTTTAACACGAGATTCCGGGATATTGTGTTGACGTCTTTTGACGAATTATCAAAACAACCAGAGACGTTGATAAAAACACGGTTGCCTGCTCTGGATGACCCCAACAACGAAGGTAATATATATTCCCAACGTGAAAATGACTTCAGATCGTAATCTTATTAATTAGATTGTTAACGCCAGAGCGTCATCTTGGAAATTTCATTTGGAAATACGGGTCGGTGTCGTTTAATTCCAAGATTCAAGATACCCCGCTCTCGGTCTTCAAAAGTCGCATAAGATGCCTTGTGTCCGCGCAAACATCTTTTGTAGGCGATGTAATGTTGGCGTTCGATAAGAACTTGAAAGAGATCAAGGATGACTTGGAACCCATCTTTTCCTCGTTGAAAAATAATAAAACGGATGACCCGTTTTACCGAAAATTCTCTGACGACAAGTCATCCGATGCCACTAGGTATCCGAATGCACCATTCGGTTAACTCGTGCTCAATTTGTGACGCGCGCTAAATCTGTCTAATTTGAATAGTGATGCGGAAGAGTTATTCCATTTCTTTCAAGACGCCCTGATCAAATATGTCACATTGTATCGGAATAAGCTACTTGATCTGTTAGAAGAGGTGAATGAGAATAGCGGTGATCAAGATGTAAGCAATGGTATGCCAACATATGCTACTTGATTTGATCGAGACAACCTCAAAGTTTTCAATTTCTCATGAGCAAATTTCACTGCTCTTAAGCCAAGCGTCTTCTCATTGGCCGGATCGCGCATGCGATCGCGAATGATACCGTTGAATTGCCGATGCTTTTGCAGGCAACAGTTGATCGCGAGAAGCCGGATCGATATAGTAGTTTCCTCTCATCACCAGGTGTTGTACGGAAATATCTGCGATGAAGGTTTTACATACGAAATTAACGCTCATTTTCTTGACTTTCAATATAGAACCACGTTTGGTCTCGTTGCGAGAGATGCTGACTCAAATCTATTTCACGGCTCACGGCCCATGGATTCAATATGTCACAAAGAATGCACAGGATGCCATGTCCAGTATGCTGAATAGTTCTCTTTGGGGTGAAGCAAATGTGCAAACATTGGTATGGGAAGGTTAGTGAACAAAGTAAAAGTGTGTACGGACGAAGGCTTGATAGCAATTTAACGGAGCATCTCTTCATTCAGAGGTAGCCATGCAACCGATAGAAGGTGAAGCAGAAGAAAAGATCAATTTACCGTCACAACCGTCCGGCGCGGTAACAAAGTGTTTGTTTGGTGTTTGTCAGGAAATCAATCGTATCGGTAGTCCTACATTACATGAGGTGTTATTTTTTTGCAAACATTTATCACCTTTTTTTTTTTTTTGAACATTTCGTTCACATTAATTATCCTCTACGCTTGTTTCGCCTTTAATTTCAACAGAGTGTTATCAAAGACCTTGTCACCCAAATATTTGCCAAGGTCATCGAAATTTACAGTAAATTTACATCCAGCGAGGACCAACTTGCCAATGTTTCCGAGAAAGGAGCTGTTCAGATGCTGTATGATGTGAAGTTTTTGAAAAAAGTTTTCGAGCCATGCTGGTCGCTGGGGTCGAATCTCACTGATGAGAATGAAATACGCGAGCACCAGAAAAAGGAGCAAACGATGAATCAAATTATGAATTCTATTCGAGACAAGGTTTTTTTTTTTTTTTAACATTCTTTATCTCTTCTCTCAAGTTCTAGACTTTTCCCCGAAGTATAAACTGAAGGTTACATACGCACGTCTATTTTTCATCCTTTAGATTGACCCGATTGATCTAACAATCTTCGAGCCCCACTTAAACAAGAATGTCGAGAGACATTATGCTCGTAGTTCCATCATACTGGGATTGATACTTCAGTTGAATGCAGGTGTTACAGATATGTGAGTGTTCCTTAGGCGACTTTCAAATTACCCGATCAAAAAAAAAAAAAACTAATGTACACCTTCATTTCACCGCAGGAGACGGAAAGGAGTTGCATTACAAGATTATCACAATACAATGGCGATTGCACCTCAAGCAGCCAGGTTTACCTTATTACCCATTCGCCATAAGATAGGTCAAAGAAACAAATGATGGGTGTAGAGAGGGATTCTATGTTAATGTTTTACTTCACACGGAAGTTTAAAGCCACAAATAATAGACGCGTGTTTGATAATCTGGTCGATTAATCAAACCACGCAGTAAACAATGCATTTTTGCACATTCGCTTTTACACTCTTTGCATATCGACCTCCGAATTATAAAGTACTATAAATTTCATGATCCCATTTTGGGTACAGTTTATTGGCACCGGCTGTTAATTTTGCAACATTCGGTCAAGAAAAAGACGCTGCAACTTCTAATTTCGCGATAATGAATATACTGTTAATCAAAAAAAAAAAAAAAAAAGAATAAGGTAATAAACTACATTTCGTCATTTAATTGGATTTACGAAAGTCTATGCGGTTACATGCAATAAGTGATAGTTTCTATTATGTTTCGTGATAGATTATTAAATGCGTCCTTATCTTTCCCTTGATTACTCTCTTAGAATATAGTAATTGCGATGCAATATTATTTCATGCCACAGTGACGGCCCCTCTAGATCTATGGTCACAAATTCCAATTCTTCATAAGCATCTGTCTGTCGATTGGTACGTCGCCTTCTTCTCATAAATACTCTTCCGGTCGTGCTCAAATTGATTAATTCAATCGTTGTTTTTTTTACGTGCAACACAGAACGGATATTGTTTTTTCCCGAAATCTTATTAAACCATGACTCCTTTCGGTAGTTCTGTATAAATCGAAGGGCGTGCCATAACAACCTCCGAATATAATAAGGCAGGATTGAATTATTATTTGAAAAAGGGCCCGCCAGCTTAAAACGTACTGGATGTAAACAATGCAACTGTTAATTGATGGGATTGTCGGTTGTTTTACCATCCGTGTTTGCACGTACTTACGTGCGTACACTTAATAAGTCGGATAGATACCTTTGATAATGCACGGCATGATGCAATACACTCATTACAAAGGATAAAATTATTGCTATCGGTCTATTTTTTTGTGAGCCCCTTCTGTACGAGTGGATTTTATATGACCTTCGTAATTGCAGGTGGGACATGGAATTACTAAAAGAAATGCATGTCGGCTGCGTGAATTCAATATAAGAAATCATCATCAATTCCACGTTGCATGCGAATAGTTCAAGCACAAAGATTGGTCCAAGGGATCTTCTATAAGCACAGTTCCGAATGACTTCGGTCGTAAGTCTAATTAACAGCAACGGAATCTGACGGGGAGCTGCACACACTTAGTAATAAGGAGCTGCTTTGGCGTCATGGAGATAAAATCAATCAGTTACACACACAAGCAATCGATTACGGTTCGGGGACATGTGAATATAAATAATTTATGCCATTTTATTCAAATCTCCTCTCATGTGAACGAGGAATTTTGCTCTGGATGTCGTTTAATCTATGATTTCAATTACTGCAAAGAGAATGCCAAGAAATTGTGTACAGTTTATGGAACATGAAGTGTCACCTTGAAATAGGAGACCATTACGTGGCATGGAATAATATGGGTGGGTGTGGGATGCACCAAAGATTATTATTATTTTTTTTTTTTAAAAAACTTTTGGCGGTCGCTTTGTGTATATACTGTACATACGTATAATCACGATTAGATGTAATTTATAAGTCCTAATATAAACGAGATTCAAGTCATATTGCAAACACAATCTATGTGAATCAAAACAACCTCCACGTGCGCGGAAAATCCCGGCGTCACCTGAAGAACGAACTAAGAATCTCATCCATCGGTTCAAAGAAATTGTGTCGTGGATGAGGAACAAAGACCGAGAATGAATTGTATTTGACACTCCACATTATTTGAAAAGTCAACTCAACTTTAAATCACCGTACATTCCCACCAGTCATCCGTAATTAGTAGTTCCGTTCTTGATTTCATTAACGATGCACGACCGTATGGATCTCTCTTGTGGGAATGAATGCGTGAGCACGCAATGCCAACAATCATGCAAATGTGACGATAGATACGTGTACACGGTCTGATCCAGACGGAATGAACACATACATACTGTATCTCGATGTCAAAGTCTTTTCTACGATTGTGTGCATTCTTAGATAATTAAATTGATCAGACAATCCCGAATGTTTATTTTTCCCACCATCACGCGTGCGTCTCTTTTGGACTCCGCAATAAAAACGAAATCACAAAAATGAATCACGTGGTTTCTCGCTTAACCAAAGTGTCTATCGCTTTTACCATAACTTTAACTATATACATTTACTGCCAACTATCTAAAAAGTCTTTCTTTTTGCAGCTTCCACCAATAAGAGATGTTCATTGTTTGAGTGTCTGATTCCTTCTCACATGAAGCTCTTTAAAATCTCAATATCTAGCTTTGAATCCACCCTGCCAGTATAGATATAGTACAAGATCCTCTTGAAGGTCTTGTAATCGACATCGCGAATGTGATAAAAGCTGATATCTTGATTTTGCGACTGTTGGGACTTGTTGTTTTCAACGATCATCTTAAAGGGGTCAGAGGAAAAGCGGTTTATTTAATGTTCTCTCTTTGTGACTCGGAAGAATACGAATAGCGAAGGACTTACTTTGTCAAGTTCATTGCATTCTAACTGTTCATTAACAGAAACCCAATTATTCTCCCTCAACTCGACAATATTCTATGCACCAATTAAAATGTTAGCATTCGTGGTAGGGATAAACACGAAAACAAATGAGAAAATAAACGTAGCCAGAATTTACCATCAACTTGGAACGTAAAGCTTCATTCAATTGCGGATGTTGCGCAAAAAAGATTATCCTTTCGAAATACGCGTCCATGTGAGCTTTGGCCTTTTCGTGGTCCATAAATTTACCCACCGTTCTCAATATTTCGCACAACAATTCAATCTGATCGAAATACGGACATGTCTTGTTTAAACAATGCTTGACGCATCTATGCATCATTGACTCGGTGACTATGTTACACTTAAACAATTCGGTAAAGAATCTCGCGAGGCCGATCCAACGTCTTCTCTCCTTAAGTCCTAAAAAGTGCTCGTTTGTCGTCGCGTCGGTGGACTCCCCATTCTCATCTCGTTTAATGTAAAAATCGACATTGCATCCCTTCTCAAATTCAAGTTGACATTTGGTGTACAAACACTTTAAAAACAAGTTGCGTCCTCTTGCCACCGTACCGTCCGACATCTTGACATTCCTATCGGCAATGCTCTGATCAATCCCATTCATCAAATTCCTACAAAGGTATGCATACAGATGGCTGTAATTGGAACATTGGCAGGCGTGATCAAAGATGATGGCGATGACGGTCCTCAGGGTGTGCCCATCATTTTCATCCTTCGACAGGTTGACAAAATCGGTTATCCGTTTGGTAATGTGATCCAAATTACTCCACAATAATTTGTTCAATAATCCAGTGATCTTGCGTCGAATTTTGTCAGTAGACAATTTGCCCATTCGATCCTTGACTTGTAGCGTCTCAACGATCGATGATTTATTTTCGTCGAATAACTTTTCAAAATACTTGGATCGCGATGCTAGAATAACTTTGTGCGCCCTCAACTTTCCTCTGCATTCAAATCGGAACTCGACATCACTAAATCGGTCGTTGTACAAGAAAGGTTCGAGCAGTGCCATTTCGTTGACAGGCGAATCCATTATGGTTATCTTTACGGTAATATCGATCGGCGATGAAAAATCCTGAGCAGACAAAAGAATAGACTCCGTCCGACAGAACTTGGACACTCCATAACAATTTTGACCATTTTTCTCTGCGTTATCCAAAGTGAGGTGCACGGATTTAATGGGAACATATGAATTCTGATTGAATCGTAGAATTTCCATCTTTATGATCTTGTGGCGATGAAAGATTCCCTGCGGCGCGTCTCTTCCAAATATCGGTGATGCCTGAAGGTACAACGAGACGAAACCTGGTTTCACGTATTGCCAGTTTCCATTTGGGAATAACCTGATCCTACAATCGTATCCTGTACCTTTCGTGATTTCATCTTCCAACGTGAAATTATTGCTCATCAAAAACCTTCCCCTGGGATAAAGATCAACTAATTTTCGGAAATCCCCAATGAACCAGCGGATAGACCAAGTTGGTGTTACACGTCTTTGAATCGAAACCTGCTCCTGGACTTCGCTTCCAGCACCACTGTTTTCCCAACAACACTTTTCTCGATGATTCGTTGCCCTCCAACTGCCGGAACGTGACGCCTTCGAGTAGTTTAGTTTGACCATCTTATGTGTTAAGCCGTAACTCCTTCTATTAAATGAACTGCTCGGATCGGTGATGATAAGAGAGATTTGGGTTCCTTCCGTTAGACCTCTATCGCGATGGAAACAAAGAAAAGGACAAAATGAAACAAGCGATCAACATCTACATTCGTACTGCCTTTTTTTTTTTTTTTTTTTTTTTTTTTACTCAGGAATGATGTCATTGCTCACTGCGTTTACGACACACACGAGGTTCGGTTACGCAACAGATTGATGTTTAGAAGGTGCTTGAATAGAAAAAAATTTTATTAATACCTCATCAGCACAAGAACAAAACATTTGTTGCGGAATCTGGTGTGCGTGTTGGTTTGTTGCGCGTAGAATAATTTCTGGAATATTCTTACTTGTTATGATGCCACAATATCATCCAATATGGTAGCAATATCGGGCATACCTGTGCAGTTCACCGATAATAAGGCAAAAAAAATGTTTCAGCTCCGCGGCTCTTATTACATCAACTAAACAGAGATAACACGATGCGGCGACAGAATGCTGCACTCGACAACTCATTCCATGCATTGAATTGTAATATAAATGTTTTATCATATAATGATAGATCAAAGATATATGTTAAAAATCATGCATCTTTCATAAGCTGTCATGATCACGAACGTTTCATAATAATTCGCCAGCTGGCCTCTTTATCGCGCAATACGTACGGTACGCGGTATGATATCATCAATCAAATCCTTAAAGTCAACCGAAATAATGTTCACGTGATAGCGTTCAAGAAAATAAAAACACCTTACGTACTTAATTCCTGATTAGACCTCATCTCTATGCAAGTTTCGTGCAGGCTACTAAACTGGCGCTTGAGAGATCATTGCTGCATATTAATGTATACGGTTTGTCAGGAAATGCCGAATCCAGTACTATTGATATATTCTTATGGCAAAGCTATCCTGGTATGAGACTCGGGTAGTGGCAGTGGTAGGTAATACAGGAATTTTTGTGTATCCGCTGCACGGCACAGCAAATCTTGTAAATGGCGCCACCTTTCTAACTTTCTCAAAAGTTATCATTGTCCGCGGCGTAACACTCGTATCGTATCCTGATATGAAAGGCTGTGTCCGGGATCCAACACCCTTGCCATCCTGAGAATACGAAGATGGATATTTTAACAAAAACTTTTTTGACTCTGATTAATAGTCACTGTTGTACGTTATAAAATGTTTTGCTAAAGTTAAATCTCTACCTAATTTACTCATTTCTATTTATATTTTTCTAAAACTTTAAGTATAACATTGAGAATGATTTATTGCTCCGTTAGTAGTTTGGATAAAGACCCTTTCTGCTGCTAATATTATTGCCAATAAATCACTATTATAGTTTTTTAAAAAAATTAATCTATTTAAATTAAATTAAATTAATTAATTTTTTTTTTCTATTAGTTTAGTTATATGTGTTTTATTAGATATGATATAGATTATATTATTTACAGTATTGCTAAAGCCAAATCACTAACTAACTTATTTACCTTAATTTGGTTTCAAATTTTAGGTACATCTTTAGAAATGATTTATCACTTTTTTTATAGTTGAAATTAATACCCTTCTATTATTAATATCATTACCTGCTGTTCATTACTACAAATCACTAACTGAAGTTTTAATTAAACTTAAAATCTAACTATTTTATTTTATTTTTGACATATATTATTATTATTTTAGTAAGATCTCTATCTAGATATCTTTTTATATTATTTCTTTTCTTTTACTTGTTTTTATGTTTTTTGTTATATAGAACTTTAAAAACTTTTCATTTATTTTTTCAGGAGATTTCTTGAATCTTCTCTTATATTATGCTTTTATATTTCTTGTCTTATACTTATTTTCTAAAGTGATTCAGAACTTTTTTTTTATAGTAAAGTATTTGTTTTCTAACTATAATTTCAATTTTTCTTTCTTTATATTTTAGTTCTCAAGTTTCTATTACTAGATTTTTTTCAACTGGTTTTATAAGAAAGTTAATTGTTTTTGAACTATTTTTGAATATTTTTATTATAAGCTTTATTATTCATATTTCTATTTCCTTTAGTTTCTCATTATTATTTATCAAGATATTACTATAGTCTTATTAATCTTTTTTTTTATTTTTGTCTTACTCTATAGAATTTTTAATATATTATATCTATTTTTTTAAAATTTCTTGACTTTATTTTTATAGACTAAATATTCTATAAAATATTTTGTTATTTTTTTTTTTTTTTTGATTCTTATATACAATATAATTGCTATTTTTATATAGATTTAATTTTTTTATTCTTAGCTTAATTATTATAAGCAATCTATTGTTAATTACTTGATCAATAAACTTTTAAAAAATATATTTCATACGTATTCCTTTTTTAATGTTTTTTATACTATATCTTACATGTAATTTTAATAGTTTGCTATTTAAAAATTTTATTTATTTTTAATTTGATTTTATTGTATTCAATAATATATTATTATTTTATTATTTATTTTTTTTTATGAATTGTTATATAAAACTATTTAATATTATATTTAAAAAAAAAAAAAATCTTTTCATTGATCCTCAAAATTTTAGAAAATTTTCTTTTATTGTAATTTTCTAAAGACAAAACCTTCTCACAAGAAACCATTCCAAGGAAAGATAACAATAGCAACAACTTTCCTCCTTATAATATACACTTGACTCCTGACAACAAGAAAGGAACAACACTAATCAATAACAATATCTTTATACTTTTGTTTTGCTTAAGAAAAAAGAGAAAACAAGGACAAACTGATTCACAGTAGGCTTCTTGAAATCCAACATCAACTTCACAGAACTCTTAGTCAGACCAGTGTAGTTTAACACCTTTTTAGGTACTAAGAAAGGTTTCAGAAGCAATAATCCAAACCAATAAATCAATTCAAAGTCAGGGCTCCAAAAATCCAGAAGAATGCACTGATTTCTTGGGTCAAATAGTAAAAATCAATAGTAAACAATCACAACAACTGATCTATCAAACTTATATTACACAAACACAAATAGATAAAAGTGAATATAATCTAGTCATGATGAAACAACAAACTTAAAATACATTGTTAACCTATCCAATTTACTACTTTTGAATCAGAAGAGCAGAGAACTGATACAGGGAAACACCAAGTTAGACTTCTAATATAATATGCAAAAGTTCCTAATTTGGATAATAATAAATAAAGAGGTTCATCATTAGTAATTTAGGCAGGAGAGACAGGACAATAATTTTGGATTAAAGGTAATTTTAGTGTTAGATAAATCCTGAGGAGTCATTAGAGGGAGAATTTCCTTCTTTAAATATATAATTGAGTTATATGATATTTGAGAATATAAACTAAGATAAGTAATAATAATAATTATACTATCAGTTTTACTGGACTATTAAGCTATGTTATTTTGAACAGAACTTAAGTATTCTTCAAAAATAATAGTTACATATAATAAGTTAGGACTACAGAATATTCTAGAATACTTTATGCTAAATTTGCTAATAGCAAAATTGACTATCAATATTCTAGAAGTGTTCTAGAAAATCTTTACTTTCAGATGACCAAAAAGATCGTGATATGTTAATCTGAGGTACTGGGATTATCCTTGGTACTAGGGAGATTATATAGCAAAATTTTATAGTTCAATAATTCTCTCAATTAATTTGCGAGTTCCACAAGTTAAGTATTAATTAGGAATTAGAATTCAACAACTATTATCTTGTAGATATTTCTAAGGATTGTTTTTCTTGTTCTCATGATTTGTTATATCCCTATCTTCTCAAAAAGATAATAGGTCCTAATACAAACTTGTTTGTAATATGCAGATACTTGATTACACAAATAACCATACTAATAACGATTTACCACTTGATCTAATAATTCTCCTAATAGATAAGCATGCACCAAGGTCATTTGTTGATTTTTGGTCCTTGTTACCCTTTGTAGATATCTATACTTGGTTAGAACCTGTACTTCCAAAGATTGCATAATATCTGCATATAATAGGACTACATTTACATTTTTAGGAGTTGTTTCAAGAAGATCATCCATAATTTAATCAACAATAGTATTCATTTTGGAATTGTTATATGTTTTTGAAATATTGAAATAGTGTACTGGTGAATTGAAGAAAACCTTGTCTATTTATATTTATCAAAACTTGTTTTATGTTCCTGATCTTTGCATATTTGTGTGATGTATTTAAGGATCATATCTTTTGTATTTTGGGATGATATATTTCATCTATTATAAGCAAATTCATCATGTCAAGAGTTCATAAACAAAAACGTATCACTGCTACTTCCTCTTTCTCCAGGAGAACCAGAAGCTTCTAACCTATTGATAATTATGACTTGTTTTAAGAAAACCTTTTTCTCAAAGAGGAGATATAGAACTTGTATCACCAGTTTGATAGGCTCTAAGAAATCAATTTTGTTTTGTATGACAAGTATAAAAACCTTTCAGCAAACCTTCAAGACATGACTGATCACTACTATCATCTCATACATATGGAACTAAAGAGGGAGAACAATAATCTTTGCCAGCAAATTCATTCACTAAAGCAACTTTTCCAGTTGCAAGACATGGAAGCTCCTTCTCCATTGAACAGGTTTTTCTCTCATATACCCTACTAAGTCTGTTTCTTTATATATGTTTGATTACTAAGACCATGTAATAGCAGTTGTGATGCTCTCTAAGCCAGCTGAAATAGTGGTGCAATTGTTCTCTAGACTACTACTATTTCACTACACCTTTTCTCTATTCTTTTTTTAAATGCCTTCAATTCTTTTAGGTTTTCTGTTCAGGTGACTCAAATAGTTTTTATTGATTATATGATGACTCTGATAATTGATAGTCTTATAAAACTATTTGTGATTCCCATTCTTCTCAGTTAAAATACTTCTTCAAAAGATGGATATTGATAGAAGCAGCCAGTACTTTTCTGTCCAAAGTTCTCAGCTGATAGGCACTATTTGAAAGAAT